TCCTGCCTCCTCCACAGGCTTTGGAGCAGATTCCCAAAGTCCTCACTGACTCAGACTGGCAGGAGTCCCAAAAGAAGTACCGAGCCTCCCTGCAGGCCCTCCACTACCTCCAAGAGCTTGACCTAATGGCCTGCCACAAGCTGACTGACATGAGCATAACCAAGGTATGGATGTGGCCCTGTAGAGCCCGGGCGTGGTTGAACTTAGCTTAGCTCAGCTCAGCATAGGAGCAGGGTATGAATAAACTGGAAAAGTCCAGCTGTAGATAGGAGTTCATACAGGCTGCATGCTGAGCTGAGTGACTGACATACAACTAGACTCTATGGTCCTGAGCCCTCTCCAGGGGCCTGTGTTATAGGAGCATTCTTTTGGCATAAGATTGTGCCAGCACTGCAAGCCCAAGTGAGTCAGGCCTCCATGTCTCCAGACAACCGGTCTCTGGTCTGCTGTTACCTCTTCAAGTGCTGCTGGGTTACAGCTGTCTGGCAGTGCTGCACTGGGCCAGAGGTGGAGCAGTGTGTGAACACCAGGCTGTGTAGGTTAGAAGTTACTGTGCTAACAAAAAATGACCATCCTGGATGGTGCTAGAAGTGTCACTGGCCCAGGGGCTAGCACATATGAGTACGGTCCTCAGCTCTCAGTGCTCCCACAGGACCTGTAGTGCCATTGCTCCAGGAGCAGATAGGATGAAAATACCTTTTGTCTTCTTCCAAACACCAGTTTCTGAAGTCATCCCTGAACCCTGTGCTAGTGGTGAAGGTGTCACAGCAGGATGCCTGTCAGAGGGCAGTGTCCAAAGAAATCTCTCCTTTAAGCAGCTGTCCTGCTTATTCTCTCATTCTCCTTATTTCCCATTGCTCTTACTAGGTTATCTGCTTCCCAGAGCTGAGGCGGCTCTCTCTCAGCTTAGTACATGAGATCACTGACAGCAGCCTTGTAGCCATTGCCAGGGGTTGCCGGAACCTGGAGCACCTGTCACTGAGTCACTGTGGAAACCTGACTGACGGGGGGTTCATGGAGGCTGCCAGCTATCTGCGGAGACTCCAGCGCCTCAACATCTCTGGCTGTAACCAGCTCACGTACCAGTAAGTATTGCAAGGTTCCAGTCTCCTCTTAATACTAGAATGACATGAGGCTTCAAAGAGCAGGCAGCAGACCCCAGGAGCTCTGGTTCCAGCCTCTACACACCATGGGATTGGGGAGAGGGAAGAGACCAACTTGGCTCTTTGGGACTGTCAGACTGGCTTCTGGGAAGGGAACCCTGATGTGTGGCTTGCTTGCAGGACCCTCCTGGCCATCGGGAAGGAATGTACACAGCTCAAGAATCTGGATGTCTCCATGTGCAGTGGGATCCGTGTGGCTGACATCAAGCTTTTCCAGGCACAGCTCCCCCTGCAGACATGCATCCAGTCACACTTTGCAGGTGGAGCAGACCTTTTCCTCACCCTGTGAGAGAGGCTGATATATGGCTCAGACCCATTCACTTTCTCAGCAAGCACCTTCAGCTCCGGCACATCCCTGTGGGTACACTTAACCCCACTCATTGACCCTGCTAACACTGCCTGGGAGAGCAGAGACAGCTCCAAGCCCTCAGCATGAGGGGGAAGAAGTTCTCATCCTCACTGCTGTTTTCCAAAATGGCTGGCCTTTGAAGTGCTGGCTTCCTGGTATTCCCTAGCCAAAGACATTCCTTGTGTCCAATATTATGTACAACTCAGCTGCTACCAAACTATGTGTGTGGGAAGAGCCCTCAAAGCCCTTTCCCCACCCCATCTTGGGCTATAAGCCCTCTCCCAACCTGCTCACTGGATTTCCCAGGGTGTACTTTTGCAGAGCTGTTTGGAACTTGCCCTCCACTGAGGCGCTGGGCCTTCCAGTTGGAGCTTCAGAGTCCTCTAGCTTGTTATATAGGGCTGAGCATGGCCACCATTAGACTCTTCCAAGCCCAAGCACCAGAAAATCAAAAGCCTAGCAGCCACCGCCTCTGGCACTGGAATGAGCTAAGTAGGGGAGAAGAGGGCACTGTATCCCAATGAGGGATGCAGAATATGGGTATCTCATGTTGATGACTGCAATGCTGTGCAATCTATAGTACTCCAAAGGCAGGCACTTCTGCATCTTTCTGGCCTGATGCGAGATGAGTCCTGGCTGAGGGGCTGGGACTCCACTTCTCAGTCCCTCCCAATGCTTCTGGAAGCTGCAGCACAGCCTCCTGGCACAAGTTTCAACACTGCAAAGAGGGTGAATGCACTGCCTAGTCCCAGCCTTTCACTCTGAGCTGACTGCTGCCAGCTTACCCTCCAGCCATGGGAGCACTCTCCCTTCTGGCTTGCAAAACTCCATGCTGTTGGGCTACCCACTTCCCTCACCAGGAGCAGCTAGCACAACTTCCTCCTTTTCAGGGTTCCCTCAACAGCACAGGGCTCTCCTGCTGCAGTTTCCAGGACAAACTTGTCTCCCTTCTCTTTGGCCCTTAAACGCCTCTGTGACTGGAGGGAATCTGCCCTTGGTCCAGAGATGCTTCTCTAGAATGTATCATTCAGTGTCTATACATGGTGCCTTGTAGACTGTTAATTAAAGGCTTTATTTTCTATAGAACCATCTGCCTGTGTGCTTATGGTGAGAGGAGGGAGCAGGGCTGCAGCACACCTCCACCCAGTAGGGGAGTGTCAGGCCCCAGCTGTAGCTGATTCCTTAGCTTACACTGAACACCACCATCTCTTGGGCCCCGATATACAAGTTGCTGGTTTGCCACTTCTGCGGTGGCCGAGTGGAGAAAGAGGAAGGAGGAATCTTGCTGCAACAGCCAAACTCCAACCCTTAAAAAAAGAGAAATCCACTGCACGTTCCTCATAAAAGTGGTATTTATTGTCCAAACAGCAGTGGGGTGAAGAACTCCTAGCCCTTCCCACCCACTGCTCTGTGTTCAGTGCAGTTACAGTGCATAAACACTCACAGAAATGCTGAGGAATCCACATGGCCATTCCCTTATTATTGCTACAAAACACCCATTGCCAGAACTACAAGGGGGAGGAAGAAGGCACTGCTGCCAGGAGGTACCAAATAATAGCAGAAGCACCAGAAGACAGAGGGTGCTGAGATCCTAGTACAGTAAATAGACCAAGGCGAGGAAGATAACTGGGGGGCCAGGAATAGGACTTAAGTCTTCAGGTGTTCCACTGTTGAGTGGGGAAGAGATCGGAGGGCTCAGTGCAGTGGATTCTGGTTTGTGGGTGGCTGTAAGGGATGCTCTGGGCCTGTCCACACCATTCACCCTTTGTCTCTCAAACAGCTCAGCCAGCAACGCTGCAGGTGCATTTTTGGGCTGGGTTACTTAGCAGAAACTGAGCAGCAGTATTCAGCCACCTGAAGGCACCTACCCTGCTTCAGTTTGGGAGTGGGCCCTCTCAGGTCAACGCAGCCTCTCTGAGGGTGCGACTACCAGCCAGTGTTTGTCATTTGGCCTCCAGCCAGTAGAGCTGCAGGTCAGTGCTGAGCTGTGAATAGGGACTTCTGATCTCTCTCATGTTAGACACAGCTATACAGAAGGAGGACAACCATGGCTGTCAGGAGTCTGCATAACATTCCTGCTGCCTGAGCTTCAGCCCAGAGAGTTACTTCCTCACCTTCCTCCCTGCCCCCCCAGGGCTTTTCATCATGCCTAGATGAACTCTACAGTTCTCAAACACCCCATAGAGCTGTCAGTCAACAGCACAGCAAGGGGGAGGGCAGGGGAGAGGATTGAAAATGACTCAGCAGCAAGATGGGGTCAGCACCCAGTACCTGCTCCTGTGATATAACAACAGCAGCCTCCTGAGGCCCTGAGGAGCAGCAATTTCTCCCTGCGTAGTGCTCTAATCCCACTTGGGACAGAAGCTCTACTGCACCTACCAGGACAGAGATTCTCCACATACCCTTCTCCCACCTCTTTTAGGCTACAAAGGCCCTGCCAGGACTCTCTTTTTTTAAAGGGGGCTCACACTCTACTTATGTGCCCCACAAAGCAGCTGGGATAGGTTCAGCGCAGAAACGTACCTTTCTTAGGATCCTGGGACTGGACTGACAGAAGGAAGGACAGGGTGAAATCATAGAGGCTAATGGGTTGAGAGGCATGCACTATGAGCTTTCATAGGCAACAGTTTTTATGTCATCAGATGCCACCTCCTAGGACACTGAGTTCAGTCCCTGCCCTCATGAACAGCCACATCCTATGATCCTGTACCGTTGGCCTCCCAGGAGTCCTTCAGGGTGATGCTCTGTATGCACCAGGCAAAGCTTTGGAGCAGCTGAGGACTGTGGCTGGAGGCTAGTACCAAGTCAGAGGGGCTCAGCTTTCTGTAGTGTCATTTCCTACCCATATGTGGCAGGGAGCAAGGTAGAACCAAAAGCCACTACAGCTGTACGAACACAGAAGTATCGAGTGCAAAGAGACAGCTGGGGAGGCTGCCCTCAAGGAAAACAGGTGAGCTCTGGATGAAGCAAGGAATCAACCGAGAAGAGTAGATAGGAAGAGGGATCAGCTGCAGCATAGGAGGTAGGGGATTCTGGCATGGATTGGACAGACTCATCAGCCCCACTCTCCCACACCCGGTTCTCTTTGCCTTTCCCCTTCCCAGCAGGATGGACAGCCATGCAGGTGATGCCCTCCTACAAGACTCCTGCAGATGCTTTCAGCTGCTCTGTGGAGCTGGACAGTTAGAAAGACAGGATCATCCCACAGTTCCCCTTAGGAAAACAAGTTCAGCTACAACAGTCATCAGCCTGGGCCACTTCCTGCAAGCTGAGATAGCTCCTCTGGGGAGCAAGCGTGCAGGGGCCCGGTTTGAGTACAGAGAGGAGGTGAAGGACCCTACTGTTCTGCATGGCTAAAATTGTAGCAGAAGTTTAAATTGCTGGGGGGCTTTGGGACAGGAGGGGCATCATCAGGGATGGGAATGTTCTCCAGGTCGAGGAGGCGCAGCTTGAGCTCCATTGACAGCAAGATGTCCAGGTCACTCTGGGTTCGTTCGCTTGCCATCTCTTTGCCCAGCAGCACATTTATGCCATCCGTCCAGAGGCAAAACTGAGGAGCAGAGACCAGGCCTTTTGAGCCTCCCACTCTCCTCCAAGTCTCCCCGCTGCCCGCTCCATGCAGCATCCTCCCCTTACCTCTGGCTGTCCCCTTCCCACACCATCTGCTCACCTCATGTCTGTGCAACCATCATGTGGCAGCAAGAGAGCTGGCTGAGATTCGAGCTGCCTAAGCCAAAGGCCATGGTGCAGCCCAGGCCTGCAGGCAGGCAGAGGCCTTGGTGATTCAGCCTCTAAAATACCAAATGACTTTGCACAGCCAGAGGTGACACTCACAGCTACCCCTCTGCTCCCAGCCAATGATTCCCCCTGTGCCGGGGAAGGCCTGGTCCCAGGAGGCTTGGCTACATTTGAAATCACACAATCTGGTCTTTTAGGCCTCTGCCGTGGAGAGCTAGCTGCAGTGCTTCTGTCCAGCAGGGACAAGGGAAGCACTTCCTCCTAAATCCTGATGACTTCTTCATCCGGTCCTGCAGCAGGCCCATCCCATTCATCCAGTCCCACTTCGCACACCAGCTCGGAGTCCAACATCACATCCCTGGCACCAACCCTCCAGCCCTCACCAATGCTACAGGCTCCTCCCTTCCCCTGGCCAATAACACCTCTGTCTCCTCATATGCTCCCCCCCTCTCCACCTACCTCATGCACTACCCATCCCCTGCCCCAGCATGACCTAGGCCACACATGATGTGGAAACTGTTTGATTTATGGCTCCCCTCCCTTTATATCTGTCCTGTCCTCAACCATCCCAGGAGGCCTCCCCACCCTGTCCTGGGTTAAGAGAGAAGTGTTTAGCCAGGCTGGGCCTCCCTCTTCCTCCCCAAATCCCAGGGCTGACCACAGACCAGCAGGCAGGCCCTGCATTCCTCAAATGGGGCACCAAAGAGACACACAAAGGATGTACTGTCTCTGACACTCTGGCCTGCCCTGCTATCCAGCAAATCCCCCAGAAGCCAGCTCCTCTAAGCAGCAGGGAGGGGTTTGGGTGGGCGGAAGTGGAGGGAGAAAAATCACCCTTGCAGTTCAATAGAAGAATGGCTGATCACTCTGAGTGATCCAGTTCTCCCTGTAACTACACTTGTCCCTGTCTGCCTGCCTCCATCCCTTCCTTCACCACTAGCACTGGCCCTGCCAGTGCCCTCCTTTTTTTGGAGGTCTTGAAGCACTTTGCAAACGGGGCCGGTGATCCTCAAGGGGAAGTGGAGGGACCTGGTCATCCAGCAGGTCAGTGACAGAGCAGAAACAGGACCCGATGCCTAGCAGGTGGCACCTGCTCCCCTGGGCTGCAGTGCCCTCACATTCAGGGACAAGTTGGCAGCTCCTGGCAGTGCTTTGATACCTCAGGCCCATGAAGCCAAATTCCTAGCCCAGTGGGACTAGAGAGGTGGCCTTCAGCTGCAGGACTCACCTCATAGCGAGTGGGAGCAACGAAGTTCAGGTAATACTCCTCCACATCATAGACTATGGAGAAGGCCAAATCCAGGACATCCTGCAGGGAAAATGCACAGGCTTCAACCTGGTTTTGCACTGGTTGGTCTGAAGGAATCAAGCAGCAACAGCAATAAGAAACTAAGGGTTGACAGTGCCATGGCCATGTCTGTTTTTCCAGGGGAAAAGCAGCAG